ATTTTTTTTTTTCTAAGGTTCGTTATAAAAAGGGAAAGTTTTTTGTTTTCGAAAAAAATACTACCTGTGGGAGAAAAAATCGATTCGACCTCGTGAACTTATTACGTGAACGAAGCCAAAAAGAACAAACCTTTTTTTTTTAATCATCTTGATTTTATTCAAGGTTAAAATTGAAAAACAAACAAACGAACAAACATGATTAATAATAATAATAATAATAATGAGTCGTCGTCGGCTTTCCCGTTTTCCAAAAAAAAAATTATCTCCTCCGGGAACAATTAAAAAAAAAAAATTCTTTTATTCGTACAAGTATTATTATTATCATTATTATTGCTGCGTTTAAACGTTTGTTCTTGTACGAAATGAAAAGTGTAAAACAAACAATCGAATCAATTATTGTTGTTCCGTAACAAACAATAATAATTGAGGAAAAAAAAAACGCCATTTAAAAAAAAAGACGTTTTCGACGTTTCTTTGTTTGTCACGCGAAATGGGGCATTTAACCGCCGCCATTTTTAAAATTTTAAAGTCTTCCACCACCACCCCCCCTCACCCCCACGCCACCCTGCCCTTTTTTCATTTCCCTCATACCCCTAGGAGGGTATCGGGGGTAAAAATCCCTCCCGAAGAAAAATCGTCAAAATTTTTTCGTTTGACTTCTGGTAATCGAAACCTTTTCGGTTATTCATCAAATGGTTCGGGGTCGCCATCGTCATCATCATCATTATTAGGAAGTGATCGATAGAAAAAAAAAAAAAAAGGTTGGCAAAACGAAAGTGAGAGGAATCATAAAGAGAGAGAGAGAGAGATATTTTTTTTTGGGTCGACTAAGGGTGAAAAGATTAACTAAAGGTTATTATACCCTCGTCACCTAAATTCCAACAAGGACGAATCTCGCAGGTACTCGGCGCAAAATAACTCTCAACCTCATCAACCTTGAAAAGGTTTTTAGTAGGCCAGTCCACACCCCTTAAAAAAAAAAAAAAGGTACACCCCGAACCCTCGTAACAACAACCACCGTGTGACTCAACACCCCCTTCATTTAAAATGTAGGTTGCGTCTCGATTTGGTTGTCGGTTGTTGTTACCATGAGAATCGAAAGGTTGTTTTTGTAACTTTTTTTTTTTTCCATTTCGAACCTTCTTCCTTCCTACCATTTATCATTATCATTATTATTATTATTAGGAGCCATCGTTTGAGAGTTGAAATGATTGAATGAACCTTAAATAATAATAATAATTTATGTGGCACATCCCACGCCCAGTTGGTTCCTTTTTTTTTTTTTCCTTTAAAAATTTAGGTCGAGTTTCGATTTATAGATTACGCTGCGTTTCTTTTGAAAAAAAAATCACGCCGCGTTTTTTTACCCGAGAACAAAAACGCGCGTTCGTTTAAAATGATAATAATAATAATAATAGTTTTTTCACATCGTCGGAACGTTTACAAACGTTTTTTTTTTTATCGATTTTGTTATTTATTCAACAGGTTCAAAACTTTTCAAAACCATCTCATCGATTGTTGTTGTTGTTGAACAATTTTCCAGAACAAACACAATCACAAGAAAATTTTATTTTTGAACAATCAATAAAATTAAACAAAAATAGAGAGAGAGAGAGAGAGAGAGAGAGAGAGAGAGAGAAATTCGATAAATTTACGACCGTTGGCTGGTTGGTTGGTTGGTCGGTTGTTTCGAATTCCGGGAACGGAAAACAAAAAAAAAAAAAAAAGAGGTCAAGGACTTTTCCAGTTTCCAAAATCCAATTTTTCATCTGGAGAAAGGATGGCAAAAAAAAGAGGAAGAGAAAGAGAGAGAAAGAGAGAATTTAATCCTGTAATTTTTTATTTAAAAAAAAAAAAAAACCCCTTTGAACGTTCTCTCCTTTCTCCTTGCCCCCATCCTCGTCCTTCTCATTCACCGGAAAAAAGGTTAAGGTTAGATGAGAAGGAGTAGGGGGTAAGGGGGTAAAGGGGGGAAGAAGGTCGGTGAAAGGCAAATGAAAAAAAAAAATGACAAACTCGTCAATTTCAAAAAATTTATCTCCCGTTAAAAAGGGTAAAACGTGAAAAAAAAAACCGAACGGATTTAAAAACGTGCGTTCGTGCGTGCGTGCGTGCGTTCGCGTGTGCGTGAGAGTGAGTGGAAAAACACCACACGAACCTTTTTTTTTTATTTAACGTGACGTAAAAAACATTAAAACGCAAATAAAAAAAAAATTTTTTTTTTTTTTTGGAAATCTGATCCAGAATTTTTCAGAAGATCCCTTGACCTAATTCCACGTTAAAATTTTTTTTTTCAAAAAAAAAAAAAAAAGTTTTTTTTTTTTTGTTTTCTTCTTTCACGTTTCGCTTAACGCGAAATAATAATAATGATAATAAAAATTAACTGGTTCAAGTTCTTTGATGTTTCAACCTTGAATTAATAAAAAACCCTTTTTTTTCGTTCGTAGTAGTGGTGGTGGTGGGGGGCGCTTTTGTTGTTTGTACGGTCAGAGGACAACCTTGGACAAAATGTCCTTGTCGGGAAACAAACGACGACGAAAAAAAAAAAAAAAAGGTTAAAAAATCATAAATTTTTATTATCATCATCATCATCATCGTGTGTTCCTCCTCGTCCTCTTCTCCCTCCCTCCCTCCCTCTGTCCCACTACCCGACCGATTGGTTGTGACCGTAATTCAAAAGACACGACTTTTTACGTTTCTGAACAAAAAACTTTTTTTTTTTTTTTTTTTTTTTTTTTGAAAAGTGAGAGAGAGAGAGAGAGAAACGTTTTTGATTCAAAAAAAAGTGAAAGTCGAACGGTCGAAGCGCAACGTTCTAATTATTATTATTATTACTTTAAAAAAACCAAAAAAAAAAAAACTTACAAACTTTGATTCTAATGCCACGTTTTTTTTTCTCCCCGTTACGGTTCAACCGTTTTTATTATTTTATTTTTTACTCGAAATTAATTCGTGTTCTTTTCTTTTTCGTTTTTCTTCTTCCACGACTCACACCTCAGTCTATGAATTTAAACTCGAATAAAAAAACGTTTTTTATAAATTGATGACTAATCCATCATCATCATCATCATCATCTTTCGTGTCCGAACGAACGACTGTAACGACAACTTTTAACAACTGATTTCCGCAAAAATTTTTTTCCAACAATTGACAAATCATCAATTATGTAGAATTGTTGTTACACGTTTGCTTCTTTTAAAACGCGCGTAAAAAACCCAAACGTCTCATGAAGCGGCGTCACCGCGGTGACAACCGCGAATCGAAATCCAGAATAATAATAATAATGAGGAGGAGGAAAAGGAGGGGAGGAGGATACGGACAAACTCTCGCTTTCACCCGTTCGTTCGAGTTTTTTCGATTGAATGACAAAAAACGCGCGCGTAAAGACAGAAACGCTCCACGTTCCAGCAACAAATTTATTTTTTTCTCTTTTTCCAAAAAAACGCCGCGTACGAAACAAACGCGGCGTACAAAAAAATCCACCCGTTAATCTCATTCTCTTGAAGATGTAAAAAATACGCCGCATACGATTTGGAAAATTCCATTTAAAAAACAAAAAAAAAAAAAAAAAAAAAAAAAAAAAAAACAAATTCTCCAGCGCGATGATTCGTTAATTTTACAACGAGTCGGCGTTAATATTATTATTATCATCATCAATCGTCGATCGAAATGGAATAATCGGTAAGTTCAAGTTCAAGAACTCCTCGCGAGCTCGGAAAATCCGCATTTTTCCAATCTTCACTTCTCTTTCTTTCTCTCTCTCTCTCTCTCTCTCTTCCCGGAATTTTATTTTTTCGTTCTTCACGCGTAATCAAACGCGTGCGTTCGATAATAAAAAATATATAAAAACGGATATCATTATAACAAAATAATAATAATAATGAGATGATGACGAAAAAGAATAATAAAAGTAAAAACTAAAACGCAGCATCCGAATAGAGCCCCCGCCTTCCCTCCCTCCCTCCCTCCCTCCCTCCCTCCCTCCCTCCCCCGGAGGCAAAAATAACTTAAATTTCAACGAAAGGGAAAGTGAAATAAAAAAAAAAAAAAAACGAAATTGGCTCCAGAACAAGATTTATGTTTTTTTTTTAAAAAAAAAAAAAAAAGGTCGAACTTTAAATTAAGGTTTTTTTTTTTTTCTTCTGCTTCATCTTCTTCTTCTTTTACTTTTCTCCAGCCGGTTGTTATTGTTATTGTTATTGTTTTTCAGGGGCATTCGTAACGTAACCGTAAATAAATAAACAAACCCAAAAAAAAATTTTTTTTTTAGATTTTTCTCTCGTTGTTGCAACAAGTTACGCGTGACGTATGTTTTTAGTATCTTCTCTTTTTTTTTTTTTTTTTTTTTTACAAACGTTTGCACGAACGTTTCACAGAAACGTACAACAAAACAAAACAAAAACAAACGACAAAAAAAAAATGGCGGACGACGTATGAAAAAAAAAAAAAAAAAAAAGGCAGACAGGCAAGAATTCTTACGTGTGTGCTTATATCCATAGCTGACGCGATAAGTTGCTTCTTTTTTCAGGTAATATTTTTTTAAACAATGCAACAAAAAAAAAACAAACAAACAAACAAACAAACGAATTAATAAATTTAAGACGCGCTATCGAAGAGTGACTTATTTAGAAAATTCACCGCCAAATCAGGTATTTATTATGGTTTGTTGTATTTTTTTTTTTTTTTTTTGTTTTCCATCGGGAATTTTCAACGATCGGAAAAATCAGCCCCCCCTCACCCCCAATTCTCCACATCGAACGTTTATCAAAATCTTTATAAAAAAAATGTTTTGTTAATTTAATTTATCGGTGTGCGATCATCTTTGAAAAACAATTTTCTACTTTTTTCGAGTTCCACGTGCGAGACGTGAGGTCGTGACAATTTTCAAATGTTTGTTGTGCAATCGAATCGAACGAGATGTGTGACGTCTCGATCGAAAAATAGGAATCACGAAAAATTTCAACCATTTCCGCTTTTTGCAAAAAGAGAAAAAGAAAAAATTATGACTTACCCAAATCCGGTATCGAACTCGAAGGTTCCTCGTGCGGCGGATGTTGTCTGTCTCTTTCTAGTCTTTCCTGTTTAACGACTTCTACGACGTATCCCGACGACGAACGAGGACCTCTCGGTGGTCCCGGCGGCGGAGGAGGTCTCATGCAATTCGAATTCGGCGGTGATGACGACGATGACGACGAGGACGACGACGACGACGTGCTCGACGATACCAAACCGACAGGAGCAGACGGCATTCTAAAATCTTTAACCGTTATCACCGGCCTTTGTAACTGCGGTAAAGTTTCCGGTGGCGAAGACGAAACCACCGACACCGTTTGACTCACGTTTTGAAAATTTTCATAATCTTCCATTATTTCCTCTTCGACTTTGATCGTCGCCCCACCCCCACCACCTCCTCCTTCTCCTTCCTCCTTGATACCTTCTTCGATCGAACGTTTCGACATTTCGAGTGTTGTTACTTTCTTCAAAACAAACGCGAACAAAATCGAAAAAAAAAAATCCCGTAATAAAAACACCGGATATTAATTTTCAATTAAAACTTTTCAATAAAAAAAAAAAAAAACCGGAAATGAATAATAATAATAATAATCCTAGTAGTAGTAGTAGTAGTAGCCGTAATGCATTTCCTATATTTCGACCGCTATGGATCCCAATTCCATGAGCGACGTAACAACAACCAATTCACATTTTGGGGTTATGCACTCGTACATGATTATTCTTCCAACACACAAAAATCGAAAGTGAATCTGAAGAAATGCAATCGCGGCGCGGGAGGGTTGTAAAATCTATTTTAAGTGCATGCGCAACTCGAGTACTTGACTCCCAACAACGACAACAACAACAACAACAACAACCACAACTACTACAAATCCTACCACGCATCTATTTTAACTATTATCTATCAATGTGTGTCTGTGTGTGTGTGTGTATACGTAATAAAAGTTATATTATTATTATTAAATGTCACCCTTCGTAACAAACAAACGAATAATACGCGCACGTACAAACACCACTCAGACAAACACATGCACGTAAAAAAACTTTCTTCTTCTTGTTACAATAATAATAATACTAATTATTATTGTTGTTGCTTTTTTTCTCTTTCTTTCTTTCTTTTTTTGTCTCAGGTTCAAAATACGGCGAAGGTTAAATACCTCGGGGGCCTTGATTCTCTTTTTGTTTTCATCAACTTTCACTATCACTCTCTAACAAACGACTACGAAGACGACAAAAACTAATAATAATAATAATAATAATAATAATAATAATAATAATTTTGGACAAACGTTCCAAATTTTTCTTCTTATTCTTCTTCTTTTAAACGTTCTTTTCTTCCTTTTTCTTTTCCTTTTCCTTTTACTCCTTCTTCGGCTTCACTTCTTTCACTTCTTTTCTTTTCTTTTCTTTTCTTCACTATTAAAAATTACTTTTACAGTTTTTCCAACGAGAAAATCAGTTCGCGATACAAATGAAAATTCATAACCGAACGTATCATAATAAAAATAATTCACTTACGATCGATCGATCGATCAATCAATCAATCAGTCACGAAAACATTTTTAATTTCATTATTATTGTTATTATTATTATTATTAACCGTAATAATAATAATAATAATAAAAATAATAATCATTCGACGAGTTTTTTTTTTTTTTTTTTTTTTTTTTACATATTTGTATTCACTCCCCCAATCTGAACCTTATAATCGTTAATTATTATTATTATTATTATTAAGTAACTTCTTTTACTTAATTTAAAAAAAAAAAAAAATCTTTGTAGGGGATGAAAAAAAAAAAAAAAAAAAAAAAAAAACGTCTGTTATGTGATGACTACGACGACGACGACGACGACCACCACCACCACATGCCTTATTAAATAAAAATTTTTTTAACGTTCTTCTTTTGCGAACGTGCGTGTGGGTGTGTGTCTGTGTCTACCCTAAAGTTTATTTCTCGTGGGAAAACACAATCACAAAACACAAACACAAAAAAATTATTATTAATAATTAAAACAAACGATATCGAAAACGAAAACCATCAAAAAAAAGGAAAAAAAAAATTTAGAAAGAAAAAGTAAAAATTTTAATTTCGGTGTCGACGAAATGCGTGAGATAGAGAGAGAGTGAACGAACGTATTAACAAACGAACAAACAAACAAACGAACGAACAAACGAACGCACTTTCGATGTATATAATAATAATTATTATTCGTCGGGGTTTCGACGAGATTCCATAAGTTTTTAATAATTCCACTCAACTGAGATCTCGGTCTTGCACTAGAAATTCGGTATAAGGGACTATTCGGCGACCGCGCTGTGGCCTTGTCCTTGAACGCGGATTCTGAACCCGTGAGGACCCACATTTGAACACGAAGCAGTAAGAGAGAGAGAGAGAGAGAGGAAAGACGTAATCGATAAACGTTTAATGTGAAAAAGTCATATGAACATCATATTTCCCCCGTACACTTATGTCCTTTTTACTCTCGCAACACTTTCAAATATAGGGTAACGCTCTTTTAAAAATTGTTTCGCTCATGTTTACCCATACTGATAAACTTTCTTTTTATCGTTTTATTATTATCATTATTATTATTATTTTTATCTTTGATCCGATTCAGAAAAGCGAAGAGTTTTTTTTTTCTTTTTTTTTTTTGTTTTAATTTTCGTAAGCTAAACATTTAATGCTTAATAAAAAAAAAAAAAAAAACTCGTCGGTTAAAGAAATAAATTACGCAATTGCACAATGAAGAGAGAAAGAAGAAAAAGAGAGAGAGAGAGAGAGAAAGAGAGAGGCACAAGACGAAAATATTATTATTATTATTATATATATATATATATATATATAAATGAGTATTTTATTTTCAATGTTGAGCCGACGGTTCTCTGTTGAACATGTGTTTTGTTTTTTTTTTTCTTATTGATAAATAATCATTATCATTGGGGGGTGGGGGGCAGTGGGGGGAGGATGGGGATGATTATCTGGAACTACGTTTAAATCCCTAAATACACGTTTGCACGCACGCTGAGTTGCTATATGCGTGTGCGTGTTTAAAGGTACGAGCGAGTGCGAAAACGATTCCAGATACGTTCCAGATAATTTATTTAAATTCTCCAAAATGACAAAAAAAATTCTGGAAAGAAATTTAAGATGGTTCCGGGGTACGACAAAAAAAACCGCGAAATTCAAAATTTATAAATTTCTACTACTCCCTTTCGCGGTATAAAAACAGGGAAGAAAAAATGGCAACTTATTATTTATTTATCCAGCGGTTTTATCAAACCTGGAATTTTTTTTTTACTTCCAAACTCAGTTTAATCTGGAGAAAAATTTTTTGTTCGTTTTTTTGTTTCTTTTTTTTTTTACTGGAATTCGATTTCCAAAAAAAAAAAAAAAAAAAAATTCATCGTAAATTTAAAAATTAAAAAAAAAAATTTTTTTTTTTTTTACCTCTTCTCCAGATCGTTTGCGTAATCAACTTAAAGTTCCAGAGAGTTGATTTTTTTTTATTTCATTCTCGATTATTTTTAGCGAATAAAAAAATCTTTGGAATAATTCTCTGGAAATTCAAGTTCAACGTACCAACAACACAACAACAAATTGTTTCGCGACTTCAACTTACGTTCAACATTTTTTTTTTTTAACCGAATCGTTTAATTTTTTTTAAAAATTATTTCCGCCATTTTGAATTTAAAAAAAAAAAAAAAATACCTGCGTTGTATTTTTACATACGTTTTCGTCCAGAAAAAAAAAAAAAAAGTTTTTAATAATTTTGTTATCATTATTATCATCATGAATGGAGAAAAAACTTGGTGGTCGTTGTTGAATTTTTTTTTTTTTTCTGGAACGAAAAATTTTGGAGAAAAATATTTATATTTCGATTGTATGCCCACAACATATTCTATTAAAGTTTATTATTAATAATAATAATAATAATAATAAAATCACATCATCTATGGAAAATCATGGAAAAATCTTTTCCAACAAAAACGCCAACGCGGATTTTTATATTTCGTGATTCTACCAAAACGACGACTACGACATTTTATTTTAAATAAGTAAAAAAAAAAAAAAAACTGGAAAATTATTATTTTATCGATTCTCGTTTTTAATAATCGATAATCGATAATCGTTTATGCAATGAAAATTCGATTTGATAATAATAATAATTTTTTTCGGAAATTATCGTTGGACGCGTGGGAAAACATATCGTCGGTAAAAATTTTCCTCCAGTTTTTGAAATTTTTTTTTCTTTTTCGGGGCCCTTCCTCTCTCTTTCTCTCTCTCATTCATTCAGTACGCGCGTTTTTTCGAAGCAACAAGCTGTATTAAAAGAAATTTTCCCCCCTCCCTGGAAAATAAAATTTTCTTTTCAACGCAGTCGTTCTCACTCACTAAACCGTAAAAAAAATTTTTTTTTTCCTTTTTGCGCAAGTCAGACATTTTACCATATAAAACGTTAGATTTTGAATTTTCCGTACATGTAAAAAAAAAAAAAAAAAGTTTGTGTGTGGGTGCGAGAGAGAGAGAGAGAGAAAAAAGATTTCGAATTTTAACAATTTTCCATTTTTCTTTCTCTCTCATTTCTGTCGGGGAGGCTTTCAGTTGAATCTATCACGATTTTATACGGAAGAAGTTAAATATTTGAAAAAAAAAAAAAAAAAAATTTTCGGGATTTTCATTTTATTTTTTGAACCTTGACCTAGGAAAATTTTAAATGGAAAATAAAGAATCGACTCGTTATTATTATTATTATTATTTCACCCTGAACTTTTACCCTTGAGTTAAAAATTTCTTTTCTTCCATCTAAAATTTCTCTCTTTTTCGTTTTTTCTTTCTTTCTTTCACATTTACTAATGAAAAATTATCATAATTTTTTACATTTTACGTCATTTACTAATGACGTAACAAAAGAGAGAGAGAGAAAAAGTGAGAGAGAAAAACCAAAAACTTATTTTTATAAATTAAAAATGGCCGACGAAGATCAAAAATCTAACCGTTAAAAAAAAAAAATTTTTTTTCCATACACTCGACGACTTTTTGCGGATTTGATTTCCCTCCCCCCATTCCCCCCTTCTCCCCGCTTGATTACTTCGAAAAAATTAAAGAGAGAGAGAGAGAGAGTACAAAAAAAAATTTTCCATCGAATAATAATAATAATAATCTTCCTCGTTGTTTTATTTCAATGAAAACGAAAAACGGTTGTTGTTTGTGAATATCGGGAAAAGTTCGGGGGATGAAAAAAAAAAAAAATAGGGGATGAAAATCTCATGTGACGCATTTAACCATCTAGAGTAAAGACCCCTGTGCGTATCCATGGGAATGCGATGATGATGATTCACACAGGAGTTAGTCATTACCTCGGAAATCAAAAAAGAAAAGAAAATTTTCAGTTTTTTTTTTCCATCATCTGGAATGGAAAATAACCCATTTTGTTTTTTTTCTCGAATCATTCCTTTTCTCTCTCTCTCCCTCTCTTTCTTTCTCTCTCTCTCTCTCTCTCTCTCTCTCTCTCTTTCTCTTTCTCTTTCTCTCTTTCTCTCTCTTTTGTATTCTTATACTACGACGGTTGATTGATTCTAATATCAAAATGGTCATCCATCCATCCATCCCGTACCGAAAAAGGAATACGATATTTTATTTTTTACCCCGTTTCAATTTACTCATGACACAATAAGAGATGAATCTTCACACGATAACTTTCCCCGTTTGTCACAACCTTTTGACCTTTTGCGTTCTTGACCAAATTTCGTTTTTTTTTCGGTAACAAACAAAAGAAAAAATAAAATAAAAAAAAAACCTTTACGATGTCGGTCGAACGCATAAAATTGTGAACTTGTAACCCAATTTTTTTTTAATACAAATAATAATAATAATAATCGAAACTAGTTTTTTTTTCTGGAATTTTTTCATTTTTTTTTTCCCTTCTTCTGGAGATTTAGGGATAGATAATGATTAAACTGGTTGCAAACTCTCTTAGAACTTTTTTTTAAAAAAAAAAAACATACGTACGCGTAATTCTAAACGTTTTCGATTTGGGATAAAATTTAAAAAAAATAAATACCTGGAATTTTTTTAATGTCGGGTTCCTCCCGTCGTTATCCTGGAAGAAAACAAAAAAACAAAATTTAAATTTTTTTTTTCTCTATGAAGTCAAAACTTTTTTTGTATTTGACCCTTCCTTTCTTTCTTTCTTCCAACGGTTAAAAATCGCAATTTACCCCTTAAGAAAAAAACGTAACTGATGCGTGTGCGTGTGCGCGGGTTTTGGATAAAAAACTGGATAAGTTGGTAGTACTGGAAAAACAAAATAAAAATAAAGTCCGATGATGTGATGTCGAAATAATTACAAATTATTTTTTTCACATCATTTTATTAAAAATTTAAAAGAACGAAAAAAAAAAAATTATGTTGGTAGCACTGGCTCTCTCTCTCTTTCTTCGGTCACCTTCGTTATAAATTTTTTTTTTTTTTCGCGCGAAATTTTTCTCATCACCTTCTTCGATTGTTATATCGAATAAATTTTTATGACTAAGATATCGAATATTTAAATTTTAATAATAAAAAAAAAATTCGTGCGTGACAAATTAATTTTTTTTTTTTTTTACGTAAGCTTGGTAGCACTGGCTGATGGCCAGCTAAGCTAACAAACGGTCAAAAAATCATTTCATTCGGATTTCATTCTTCAACTCTCGAATTATCTAACTTTTATCGTTTTATTATTTTTTCTCTCTCGATTAAAATTTACTTTTTCTATAATTTTCCGAACGTTAAAACCTTCCGCCCCCCACCCATCCTTCCTGTTCCCCCCCCGGGAAAAAAAACGTTCGGCTCAACGTCGAGTAACAAGAAGAAGAAAAAAAACAACGTTTAACTTATATACGAAATTAAAACCTGTAATTAAATTATACAAAACGTAATTTTATGACAAATTATCATTATTATCATTATTACGTAAACGAAGCGCCATATTGACATGAGAGTTAATGAATTAAAAGAACCTGTTGTTGGTACCACTGGATTTTATATGGCAAAAAAATTTCCTTTTTTTTTCTAATCGTTTTCTATACGAAAAAGAAGAAGAAGAAAAAGAAAAAAAAAAAATTATTTAAAAAAAAAAATGGCGGTGGCGTTGACGATGGCGATTGCGATGGCGATGGCGATTAACTAAACAAACAACAAACAAACAAACGCACAAACGCAAATTCGATTGTTTTGGCTTGTGTAACGCAAAAATTATTTTTATGCAAAAAAAAAAAAAAAAAAAAATGGAAGGTTACGAAGGTAACGAACGAAATTAACCAAAAAATTTATCCTTCATTTTTTTTTTTTGTCTTGGCTTCATGAGTAAAAATAATAATAATA